TTGGAAATTACCAAGCACGCGATGGAAATCGTGCAAATGGAACACGTTACAGTCAACGATTCGAATTACACGATCAAAAGAAAATTCCTCTCTATCTCTTTCCTCGCTGAAATCTTAATTAATACCCTGTCCGGTGTTTTCCGTGCGACTCGTCAGTCTTAGGGGCGAGACACGCGTTATTAACCGGCTAAATAGAGTGTTTTCGTGAGAATCTACGTGAGTGCCACGCATAATTTCATAAATCACGGTGACCGTGATGAACGATCCCCTCCGTACGTGCTCGCTTCTCGAAGCGGCGCGAATGAAATACGCTCGCATGGACAATTTTCTTCGCGTTATTCACGACCGGACTCGAAGTATTTTCGTACATTCGCCGCCCGCATGCGCCAGGGAATACTGAAACGATTAGAAACGAAAAGCAACGTAACAGGCGGGAGGAACGCTCCCTTATGGAAAAGTAATTTTAAAATTCAGTACAGAGTGGTCGAGAATGGATTCGTCATACATTTTTTCCCCGCGTGCTTTTCAATTATCGGCAAGTTATCTATTACCTATGGTTACCCTTTTCTTCGTAAAAGTGGTAAAAATGTGATTCCCTTCCAAGTGTATCATTTTCGAGTAGGAAACGAAAATAAGAGGGAAAAAAAAGAGATAGAAGAAAGGAGGGAGGAAGAAGGACGGGTGGATCGATAGAAAATTTGAACTGAATTCAAGCAATTTGTCTCCTGTCCGCCGCGATCGAAGCCGTGTTCCGAAAATCAATCGCAACGTGTTACTGGAACGATCCAATCCATCCTCGAGGATTCTTTATCCCGGAGCCATCAGCTCCTGCGGAGGCATGCACAGCGGTACACGCTATGGAAATCCAATATCCGACACCGGGCAAAAACGCCTTAGGATGCCACGCGTGGCGAAAATTTATCGATTGATCGATGTCCCCCCTGACACCGTACGGTTTGCCGTAGAACCATGATGCTCGATTTTATGCGCCATGGTTACCCAACGCCAACTTATCACCTCTCTTTCATTTTTTTTTCTTTTTTCCCTCCTTGTCTCCGTGAGATTCGGTTCTCATCCATCAGTAGCCATCTTGCTATGCCGCGCGTGTCCAAAGGCGAATTTAAACTTTATACTTACGGGATGTTATAGTCCCGTTCGTGAATATTAGAACTTTCCAAGTAGAGGAGGTAATGTCTCAAGACACTTTGTATTTTCAACATTACAACGTTTCTCGCAATGATAATCGTTTGATTTCAATTTTATAAAATCTTCAATTGAAAATTTTCCTCAACTGCGCAAACTCTTTATCACGCGAAGTGATATTTAATTTTTCCACTTTCGAGCGAGAACTCTAGCCCCGATCTCTCGTTCAACTCTGCTTGTTCAAAGTAGAAAAGTCTGAATCCCCCTCGATGATTTAGCACCGATGAAAAGGAGAACCGGACGAAAGTAACATGGGAATAAAATCTGGAAAACGTTGCGGGAGCGTATCGAAATTGCAGGTTGCGTCGTGGCGTGTAACGCGGCTGTAACATTGCGGTTCGCAGTCCTGGACGATTATTAGGAAGGGCCTTTGGACTCTATAGAAGTGGCGCGAGTTTCCATCGTCGTGAAACGTACGCGGCTCTCCACTCGTTTGTTTCTTAATTGTGCTGGGAAGTTGCGAGGTGAAATTTCGTCCGGACGGGAGCATGGGAAAAGAAACCTGCCTCGTCGAGGGGGGAAACGTGTTATTTCGTAGCTTCATTCCCCGTATGGGAACGCACGACTGCGAAATCGTAATAGAAAACGCGCACGCAAACGGTTCCGGATCGACCTGCTGATTGCGTTCAAACACTTTACGATACTTGACCCCTGAAGACTTTCGTTCACTTCGCGTCCAACAGACATGACTGTGTGCGAATGTGAGAACGATCAATCGTCGACAGTCCTTCGTTCTTCAGCGACAGAATTCGTTAACGAAAATTCAACGGCAACGAGCATCGTGACCATCGATGAACTCTCGATGTCGCTGCACATATCGAGAAACGATCCTCCGTACCTGCGAAAATAATTGAAAATAAGACGCTCCGCGCAGCCGGAATTATTCGAAACGAGTCGTCGTGCCCCCGGCGCCAGAAAATTGCTGAAATTCAGGTTATCAATTACCGGCATCGTGTTTCTCATTAACAGCAACGACTCGTGATGAGCGAAAAGCAGTGCCGAGGAAGCCGTGTAATTATAAAATTCATTAAATATGGAGATTGTATTTATACGCGAGCTTCCAAGAATAATTTGCGCTCATTAACGGAAGCTCCCGATGAAAAATTCATCGAGCCGAACGATAGCGGCCGAACAAGACAGCGTCAGAGAGAGAGAGAGAGAGAGAGAGAGAGAGAGAGAGAGAGAGAGGGAGGGAGAGGGAGAGGAAGGGAGAGTGGGCAGGATGGAAATCACGAGACTGCGGCAAAGGCGGATTTTTCTGCTACCGAATCTTGCCTGGCTATTTCGCGAATCATTCCCTTCTTTTCTCTCTCTCTCTCTCTTTCTCTCTCTTTCTTCTTTCTTTTCTCCAACGGGCAGGTATACGCCGCGAGAATCGGCCTATTTCAAACGGCGTCAAATCGACGCGTTCTCCGGCCTGTAACGAGCGATTTACATCGAAATCAGGATGGCACGTCGAAAGAGTATCTCTGGCGTGTCGATGATTGTATTGCTAATCCCTCGGGCGACGTTGTCGGCCCACGAAAATTGCAAGCTACCGGTTACGATATTTCGCGTACGGTATGTTTGCCGATAGACACACGCGTACACGCATAGTATATATAGACAGACAGTGAGAGAGTGAAAAAAGTAGAAGCGGCATAGGCGGAAAGGGATGAAAAAAAGAATGAAAATCATAACCCCAGGCACCAATCGCAATTTCGTGCTTTCTGTCCTGTCGCAATCGATGCGTTCGGCGTTATCCTATAGCCGAAAAATACGAGCGCTTGGAGGAAAACGCTCGATAGCCGGAGAGACCGTTATCGGCAGCGCCAGCCACCGGCCAGCCTCGGTTCCTGGGGACATGTATCGCGCTAAGTGGACACGTGCGCGATATTAATTGTAAAATCGTTCTAATTAACAATACCAGGCCGCACGAGGCCAGGTGACACGCGTAACAAGCGCCGTTATGCGCCAATACGAAATATACCGGTCGATCGTTACGTCACCGTCTCTTAAAGGTGCACGACGTTTAATTAATGTTAACAATTATCGGGACGTCGTGTTGCTCGCCGCGTCGTTACAACGAATCGATAATACGTCGGTTTCCGGTATCCCCGAAACGGAGGAAAAAGTTCTCGCGGTAATTACACCAGGCAATTAGATTATTGTATAACAGCTACCCACCGTCGGTATTTCGATATTTCGCGTCGAGTAAAAATAATTCCCATATTTCCAATGAAAATTCCACGAATTTCCATGAATTTATTCTCCTCGGCTCGGCCTCGAAACCGGCTAATAACGTAGAAGGCTGGCCAGGGCTTTGCAACTCCGGTCCATTAAAAACTTCGCCCGGGCCTTCGTTTAAAAGCCTGTTCCCAGTTTCGAAAATGTGTAATTTTTTTCACTTATCGAGACGGGCGGGTGGGAGCAAACTTCCCATCGATTCTCCTATGTACTGTTTCCACTTTCGTAACTACGGCACACTGCGACGTATAATACGCGCGCGGTAGTCGTAGAAATAAGCCGATCGAGTGACTGACTGGTAGAGAAATCGTCCAAGCAACTCCTACAACCGTCCGCTTCCCAGACGTAATAAACGACGGTAAACTTCGAGGAACAGAATCCGCCGCTGTGATGTAGCTACCTGCGCGAACGAATAACCGATAATCCCGCAATAACGATAAACTTTTGATACGCGAGTTTCTTCCCTCTCGTCTCGTTTTAGTTTCTCTTCTTGAAGAAAGGAAAGGGTTTTTCGCGCGTGAAACAAGACGAACCCTGAAGCCCTGTTTGCCAGCGGTGTTTGCGTTTCTGTATGGTGGTCGTCGCTTCCGGCAATTATCCTGCAGACGGTGGATCGGAATTGGGACAAAACGACGGGGAGGGAGGTGGAACGGGAGCAAACGACGCGCGTCCCCGTTCGACCCGCTAATTCGTTTTAACCTGGCCAATTTCTGGCCCTCCCGGCCTCGCAGGAAACTCAATTACAACGGCTCGCGGCACGAACGGGAGGCGCGTGGCGCGATCGCGACGAGTAAGGAGAAGGAATTCAGCCGGGACTGAGACTCGGCTCGGTGAAATTGCGCTCGAGATTATCGAGTTAGATCGATCAAAACGCGTTCATTAATTGCATTCTGCAGATTTGAATGCGCGGCTATGCAGGAAATCCGTTTAAATCGATCATTAAACTGTCCGGCGAGCATCGGCTGCCAGCGAGAATTCATCGCGCGCGGGTGCCCGAACCCTCCGTTTCCGGCTGTCTTCGTCATAGGCGAGCCAGACGTTTTCCAGCGGCCTAATGGAGGATCAAAGATTCATCGAATAACTCGGAATATAAAGTCTCCCCGTACAAGCTCTCCATTAACCGTGCAAAAATGGGGCCAAAGTAGACGCGAAATTCCCTCCTTTGAACAGCGGGTGCGCGGCTCTACCAAGCGGAATCTCGCGTCTGAAAGCTGCCACTGCTAATTGTATCTAATTAGCTTAGACATTAGCGACAGGGGGCAAAGGACCGAGAGACTTCCGGGGCCTTCCCACTGGTGTCTGGTAAACTATTTAAACGGAAGCACTGGTAATTTCGCGGCGAACGTCTCAAAGCGAAAGTTTCGCCAATCTTTTGCCAATGTTTCGAAGCGTGGTAGTAGCCGGCGCCGTGTGAACGAGGGAGAGCGAGGAAGCGTTCGAGGGCAAGCATAATGGGGCCTAGGACCAAGGTGGAAATCCATTTAAAGCGATCCTCGACGCTCGTATCGTCCAGCTAGAGACCGCGTTAAATGGAAGGGCACGGTGTAATAAGCAACTGCTTGGAATCTCACCTTCGGGCTGTTTAACGGGCGCGCAAGTGTTCCTTTCTCTCTCTCTCTCTCTCTCTTCCCCTCTCCCTCTCTTTCTCCATCTCTTCTCTTAAACCCACCGCTCGGGAACACGCAGTCTCTCTCGGCCTTCTCTTCCCCTCTCCCTCGCCCATCCTCTTTTGTGTAGTCACATCTAATTAACCAAGGTATTGCAAGGGAGCGGCGTTGATCTCTACTTCCCTAGGCAGCCCAGAAATTTCAACCCTAAGAGGATGCGGTCGAAGTTAAATGAATTAGCGATAAAGTCATTTCAGACACCGGCAGCGTCTGATTGAACGTTCGCGAGAGACGAAGCGACCAAGATGAAGAGAGAAAGAGAGAGAGAGAGAAAAGTGGCAAGGTGGCGCACGGCTCGAAGGCAACCAGCGATAGAAGGGAAAGGATTTTCCGTAAATGGACCCTCGATTTCAACGGGTCGCGTGAAAAGCCACCGACCCGTTCGAACGAGTACGAGGGTCGCGATATTTTCCAAGATATCCGACCAATTTGCAATAAAGCTTCTGAGGATCGTCGCTGGAAGAAAAAAAAAGAAAAAACTTCAAGAATTTCCCTAAGAACTCGATCCATCGGATAAAGGAACGGGTATATCCTCATTGATTTCCTGCGTGAGAGAAGAAGGCTCCGTACCGCGAGGCTGCGTGATGAGAGTCGGGCACCGCGGTATATTCCACGACGTAGCTGTGCCGTAAAACGAAATAAAATCTGGACCAAGTTGAACGAGAAATTTATCAAGATTTTGCCCGATCGAGGAACTTCGTTGCGGCGCCCCGATCGAACCCGAGACCCTAAACCCCCTTTCTTCTTACCCTCTCGACATCCTCACCGTGTGCCCTTACATTCAACGATATTCCTTTACAAAATACTGCCCAGAGACGATCGCCGGGACCTTTTTCTTTGGCAAACAAGAAGCGTACACGAGAGGCTCGTTTCGAATTCACCGGGAGTCTCTCTCGCGCTACCCCCTCGAGTCATCGTTTCCTCGCGCTCGACCGTAAAACGCGCGTTTCTGTTTGCACGGGTCCCGAGGCCCGATGAAACTTTCCTACGCACCCCGCAGCCGCGGACGAGGTCCTACGGTGCCAAATCATTGTCATATCCGTGAAGGAAAATCAATATTTGACGGTGGCCGATGTACGCGCGCATACATACGATTCCTGTTCCACGTAATTCCTGCGGTCGCTCAGACGGTTGTGTGTACGCGACCAATTTTCAAAAGCCTACAAATCCCCGTGGACGAACAGAAAAAAAAATACACACGCGCGCGCGCGCGCGCGCGTACGTGTACAGAGAAAAAAAAAACTTTGAAAAAACGTGTACCGCGATTTCGAAATGAAAGTCGAATTTTCGTGTAAAAAAAAAAAAAAAAAAAAAAAAAACGAAGAGAAATTTTACTAATTTACGAGAAATTTCCGTTTTCTGGATTAAAACGTACATCCTGTACAACGCTCGAAAAGCGGAAACGTCCTGTTAGATAACGTGCACCGTGGAAACGCAATATTTTTGGAGGGTACAAAAGCTAGGAGAGAAGAAGTCAGCTATCCGCCAACGCTTCGAACAGGAACCTATTTCCTAGGGCGTAACGAAAGCCGCTGAATCAACCTCACAGAGATGTTGTCCTACGCTTGACACGTGTTTTCTCTTCCAGTTTACCTTTTTTTTTCTTTTTTCTTTTTTTTTTTTATACGTCCTCGTTCATTTGTCACGACCATTCTTCTGGCTTTATTTCACATTGTCCAAGGACTCGTGAAGGAAGAATGGGTAAGGGATTCGGTTTATCGATTTTTGTCCACATGAATTAGACATAAGATATTATTTTTAATCGAGGATGGAGAAATAACAAAGCTGACGTGTAATTTGCGAAGAAATTTCTCTCAAGTACTTATTTTAAAAGAAGATTGAATTTCTTTTCTATTCAACCGGTCAATCATCAACTATATTTTTTAAACGATCACTAGAAATTACTATTACATTATTAAATTAGTTAATATTATAATATTAAATTGCTTAATTATTATAATATTAAATTACTTAATATTATGATGTTAAATTACTTAATTATTATAATATTAAATTACTTAATATTATTTAATGTTGTAAAATGATTTATAACTATACTGTAGATGTTCACGCAAAATTTATATTTATATTTTCGAGCATAAACTTCAGATAATTATTCACTATCCATCTATTTATAAATAAATATAAAATATAAATTTTCTTTTTATTTAATCATAATAATTTAATTATAAATAATAAGAATATTCCTACGCTTTCTCATCTGTGTTTCAATTTTGGTAAAGTGCTACAAAAATTTAATTTAAGAAAAGCATCCTCTATTTGAATTAATCTTCTAACGCTTTTCATTATAAAAGAAAGTTACTGTAATCTGTAATAACTATTTTTCAACTTTAAAACTGACAACTCAAGCTCAAAAATGTATTAACAAATGGATGATGTAGAAATTACTTAAATACATATATTTATATATTAATTATATTTACTTAAACACATATATTTAATATAATTAATACATTTTTAAGCTTACGAGTTGTCAATTTTAAAATTAAAAATAATTCTTAAAATATTTATTATAGATTACAGTAACTTCAGTATTTATACATATATAGTTTAATATATATATGTACAATATATTTTGAAAAAGCAACACGTGTTTAAAGCTTCAGTCAAAAAAAAACATTACATTTCGTGTCCTCTGATACTGCGGATTTTCGAGCATTTCGACCTGAAATACCGGCTGTTTAACGACTATGATAAATATCGCGAGAGTAACGTTTAATCAGCGACCACGCAAACGTTGCATAATTACACTTCGAAGCTGTACCGATACCACCAGCCAGCGAGAGTGGCATTTCAAGATGAGTAACAAAAGCATTAACCAGCGTGTGCACAGAGCTGAATTATTTCGCGCTCGATCGTGCATCTGCGATTTTTTCCAACATCGATGTTCGAACCTCCAGATTTACAAAGCACGTGTCTGCGTTTTTAACATTTCCTCCTTTGTTTTCAATTTTTGAAAAAAAGGAAAAAAGAGTTGGACAGACCCAAACTACCGAACATTCAGCCTCTCTTTCTTTTTTGTCTAAATTTCATATACATACACGAAGGCAACGAGTGCCAATGGAACACATGCGATTGCGCAAGAAAATCGGCACTCAGGCCGATCCATTGGACGGATCGAATTTCGCGAATGCCGCTGCAGCTCCATCAAATTCCAGTCATCGTGGGGGCTCGCACACGCGTAACATCGACGCCACTAATTCATCGCCGCGCTAATTTACCACCACAGGGCTCGAACTATGATAAATCAGCCTGAATTAATTCGCGAGAATGCCACCGGGGACGAGGGAATCAACGTCGCGAATTCTGAACAGCGTCGCGCATACTCCGCGCGTTTCCTTCCACCTAAATTCTTCCTTCTTCCGACGCTACGGACACACGATCTTTGGCTAAAACCTGCGCTGCGAATTTTATAAAAAAAAAAAAAAAAAAAATCGACAATTTCTGTGCAGTTTCATTCACTATAAACGTTATTAAGTTTTTAGCAAATTCAATTTTTCTGATGTCACGTTAATGAAACGAGAATGAAGTGATTGTCTCTCTGTTCCTTAGTAAATGTAATTATTTTATAGAGTAAATATGTTATTTAAGAATTTATACTACTTGATTTAACAGTGAATATATTATTATTAATAATAAATAAATATATTACTTAAAAATTTATACTGCTTAATTTAATAATAAATATATTATTTAATTGTAGTAAATTATATATAAATAATATTTATATATAATATACTATATATAGTAAATATAATATTTATAAATATAATATATTATATATAGTAAATATATTATTTAAAAATTATACTGCTTAATTTAATAATAAATATATTATTTAATTGCAGTAAATATAATATTTATATATAATATACTATAGATAGTAAATATAATATTTATAAATATAATATAATATTATATAGAGTAAATATATTATTTAAAAATTTATACTGTTTAATTTAATAATAAATATATTATTTAATTGCAGTAAATATAATATTTATATATAATATACTATAGATAGTAAATATATTATTTAAAAATATATATTGCTGAATTTAATAATAAATATATTATTTAATTTTAGTAAATATAATATTTATATATAATATAATATATTATATATAGTAAATATATTATTTAAAAATTTATACTGCTCAATTTAATAATAAATATATTATTCAATTTTATTGAATCTAACTGTAACACACGCAGTCTCGCAATTTTCAATTTGCGACGCAACATTTATCAAGAAGTAATTCACTCATCTTTCCAAATCAGAAATTTAATAACAAATAACAATTCAGTGATAGGTAACATTTTAACGATAAATTTCCAGATGAGAAAGTTGATGATAAATAATTATTCGGCAATAAATAACAAGAGCAAGCTGTTACCCGCGGAAAATATCTCGGAGAAAAAGAGTGAGACCCGGTGAAAAAACGCGAGATCGAATTAGTTTCCGCGCTCATTCAATTTATCCGCCATCGCAGAGAACGAACGGCGACCGAGCTCCAAGAGAAAATGATCGCGATCGACGATCCAACGTCGAACGAACGAAGTCTCCGATACAGGATCGATCGGGAAGGGACCGAAACCGACGTAGATGCGCTGCTAAATGCAGAGCAAAGCACGGGAAATGCTCATCTTCGATTCAGTTCAGCCGTTCGCGGTCTTTATTCCTCCAAAGGAAAATCGAACCAGGTTCCGTTACTATGAACGGTTACTTCGCCAACGAAGAAGAGAACAAAGGAGACTCTCCCAGAAGGAGGGAGGATCACTCGTGGATTCATCGTTCGAGAAAATTGTCTTCTATCGTTCTAAAACAGCCTGGAGATCATAGGAGAGAACGTTTTCCGCGATGTTTCATGGCCAGAGGTTAGAAAATGGCCGTTGACGATG